AAAAAGGGCCATGGAAGAAGCAGAACTGGTGAGAGGTTTGCATCCTATTTTTGCTGAGAAAGCAGGAGACCTTTTCTCTTCAGATTTGGTCTGTAGGATTACCCCAGACTGGGCTCTTTGCCAACCTGAAGTCTCTGTGAGACACTACCTCCTGTCAGTGTGTCATTTAAGCTAGGCTTTTTGCCTCAGCAGAGGCTGTTAGTGATGATAGCTAGCATTTATCTAGTGTTTCATATCTGAAAACCACCCTGGAAGTCTCTTCCCCCCCTCCCCTCCCACCCACCAAAACACCATATAGTGGACTAGATGTCCCAGATGTTCATTTTTGTTTGCATATGCCTGATAATTTATTTCTAGGAGGCAAAGGCAGGAAATACACTGTGATCTCTGAAGTTATAGTGGACTCCCTTTGCATGCTTTGTCTTCTAAGCAGATCCTTGTTTTTGTGATCACAGAGTGGAAGCTAAACGTATTCCTGTCTGTCTGCTTATTTTGGGCTAGATTCTTCCTCAGGAATATATCTTACTTTGCCAATATTCCCTTTGAAATCCGTGGGACTGCTTGCAGCATAATGCGTTTTTTCAGAGTCAGGGAATATGTTTCAGTCTGGCTGTGTGTGTGTGTGTGTAATCAAATACCTATCCTATAGAAAACAGCTGTTGATACCTGCATATGCTTTGCTCTATGAATAATTCAAATTGAGATTTGATTTAAAGCTTGCAGCATTTAACACTAGTCAACAGAATAATTATGTGATTGGTGCTGAGGGAAACCAGCATATATATTAAAGGAAGAGAGGAGCCGGTGCTAAAAGTTAGATGAGCAAGTTAATTATTCCTGCCTCTGCCACTGATGACGTTCTGTGACCTTGTGGCGAAGCTTTTAACTGTCAAACTGATGTGCAGGTGTGAAAAGAAAGAGGAGGAGGGGAAGGGGCTATTGTTTCAAAAATACCCAAAGCCTTGCAGGGCTTATCTCGTTAAAGCTTGTGGTGCTTTCAGCTCCTTCAGATATTAGTACACAATCTTTATTCTGCCAATTGCGTACTGTTATATTTAAAGAATTTAAAATACTGACTTTTTTGAGGAAGTTGCTAGAAACAATAGCAGGGGAGAAAGCTCTAAAAGTTTCTTCACTTTCTGAAAGTACCAGAGGTGATGAGTTTTTAAGCAAACCAAAGTTTAATGAAAAATCCAATTCTTACTAAGCTCTGCTATTGGTCTCTAAGGCTGTCACTGTTTGTAATAGATTATGAGAACAATGTCATTGAACTGGATTCCCCTGTAATATGTCACAAATGAAAGGATGATAAAAAACCTTTCACATTCCAGAAAGCTTTCTGATTGTAATAACTTTAATAACTTTAAATTAAGTTATGGATTTATGTTAAAATGTATGAAATTATGAGGTCCCTACATCACGAAGCAGTGCAAAAATCATTAGAATGACTTTGCTGTGCTGATGGATTACACATGAGATGAACATTGGCCTGCTGCTAAAGGAGTGAACCCTATTAAAATAATAATTTTTAATAACTTTTTAGATGGCTACCATTCTGCCATTCACATAATAAAAATGGAGGGAAAGCTACTCCACTGAGTAAGTGAAGAAAATGCTTTGAGCCTCAGCAGCTTTCTCTGTTCTTATTTTGCTTCCAAGCGCTTGGAATGCAAGGTACAGCTGTCATAAATTTATAAGTAAAAGGCCATGAAGGTTATGATGCATGCCAAGAGGGCACAAACATTGCCTTTCCTGTTTTGGACATAGTTTTCAGAGATGTTAATCTGGTTTTCCATCTTCAAAAATTGTCTACGTGCCAGGACTATTCCATCCCAAAGACTGGTGGTCCTGAAAGTATGTTTACACTGAGTAATTAACTCTATGAGTTTCAAAGTTACTAGTTATACATTCCTGTTACAGTGTCAGGGTCATATGCCCTCACATGAGACATCTACAAATTTATAATTAGGCTTTTTTCCAGCAAACCAACGATATAATAGGTTGAACACTAGTAATAAAATGGAATTCGTAAGTGCATTTGGAGAACATTGATTACTAGACTAAATAATTCAGAGCAAATGAATATGATTTTGAAAGGCTAACAAAGGAAAACAGGTAATAGAGACATATCTTTGGGAATATTTGTAACAGTCATCTACTTTTTTCTTTCAAAGTTAATCATTCAAACTTAGCAAAAGTAGGTTTGCTATAATACAATGCTTTGCATACCTGGGGCAAGGGTTTAGATGCTACTGATAAAGTGCAAGTAGGAAGTTGCAGTGCTAATTTTATATGAAATTTGGACATGTTTCCGTGATGGCGTCCTGAGCTAGCTGCTAAATTTCTTTTTTTAAAGGGAGCACACCAAAAGATACGAGAATGCTTCCCACCTGAAGCATTAAGCATTTAACTGAGCACAAATAACAAAATAATTCTGTAGATAGAGAAAAATCATATCTGCTGCTTGAGATGAATTTAAAATAAAAGCTTTGAATCAACTCTCCCCTGCCCACTGAGTTCTGGCATAGAAGATCCTTTCATCTAGCCTTTCTCCCAGTCTAGCAGCTTCCAATGGCTTCTTGGGTTACAACAAAGTCTGTGCCAAATCCCTTCTGGATCTCTAAGACAGTTTTCTGTTTGTGATCTCTGGCACTTGGTGTTGATGTTCTCCTACCGCTCTCCCTGCTTGTGAATGTGAATCCCATTCTATGTGTATCCTATCCTGATCATCCATCAAATTCAGGATGCTTCTTTCCACAGAGCTTATCCAGGCGCGGGACAGTCTGTCTTTCCTCCCACCAGATTTTCCCACTTGGCCCACACTGCAGCAGACCAGACGAAGCAACCTTTCTCCTTGCTGCCCAGCCCCAGCTCTTTAACAGAGGCATATGCAGTACGCTGTGAACAAACAGTTCTGCTGTCAATCAGTTTCCCTCACTATGGGACTTAACTCCTGGCCAGCATATTTGGGCAGGGGAGCCATAATTTCATTGAAGCAGCAGCTTCGTTATGTGAAGGGCACGCCGGCCCTGTGTTATGCTAAAGCATCAGCATTGCAAAGAAGGGCAAATGCAGATATGTGATTTAAAGCAGAGCTAATTTCCTCACAATGGTTGATGAAGAGCGCATAATGGTAAGCCATATGGCTAGAAACCTTCATACAAAATAAATTTCGTCAAAAAGTGATAAGGTCTGATTGTTGCCATTTGCCCAAATATCTTTTTCATATTCAGAGAATCTGTAGTGTTCACTGAGCAGCTCCTGCTCAGATCTGGGAAAATAAGTATGCCTGCTGTTTCTAGTGCTTCCGTGTCAGATAAGTATATGCTTATAGCAGAGGGATTTTTTGTGCTGCCATTAGGACTATCATGCCAAACCAATGAATAATGGCTCTACAGGAAAAGCTTGACAGTCAATTATCTGGCCATACATACCAAGGTGAATGCAGTTGGTCTTATAATGTCTCTGGCGAGAAATTTTGGTGCCTTTGAGCCTTCAGTTGCCATAAAGTGAAATTACTGCAGTAACTTTTCAGTACGGTGCTAAAACTCTAACAGTATGCTATGTTTTGCATTTGATTTTCTACCGTATTCATCCTTCAGGCATTACTGGGTTGGGACTTTTTTAGAGGACCCTGCATTGTGAACTAATTATGACAAATGTTGACATGACATCTGTTGCTTGCTTTAAATTACCTCTTAGCCTGTTGGAATTCATCTTGAAGGCATTTTTGTAATGAAATTTTTTCATGAACATTAATACAACCTGTGGGAGATCTGAATAAAAAAGAAAATCCACCAATCCTGCCAAGAGAATAGCTTATGTGCCAGCTGCCTTTTTTTGTTGTTGTTATCTTGCTTTCTGTGATATTAATACAGCTGGTTTCCGAGGCACTTAAATATATAACAGGTTGTTATAGTATGGAGAATTTCTCCTTGAGAAAAGTCATTCAAAGGACGTGCTTCCTGAAAGAGCCGCTTTCATGAGTTGCTGCGTTCTACTGAACTTCATGTTCTTCATAGGATATTGTACTGTTCTATCTTGTAGATATATTTGCCCCAGAATGCAAGATTAGTGTGTCATTTCTGGAGTTATCTTTCTTCTGTCTATTCTGTGGCAGAGCAAAGGACTTTATCTCTGCATTCTAGATGAGATTTCCCTTGCAGCTATTTGGGTGACATCTGGTAATTTTTTGAGTACCTGCCTTATCAATGTTTCATCTACCATGTTTCATTCAAAAGTTGTAAACATGGCTAATTAAATCATGCTAAATGCTTGCAATAATTCAACCCATACGTGAAGGAAATCCTATCAGTTTTTCGAAAACTAACTTTGAGTTAATATACGTCTGTCACAATTTCTCTTGATACAAATGGATGCAAGTTGTGCAGCGGTTGGTAAATGTTACCTTTTGGGAGCTGGAATGCTTGGTCTGTGACAGACATTTTTTTGAAGAGTTTAAAGGGCAATTCAGTGAGAAGATGCTCTGAAGTTCTGAGGTAGCAGTGAATTCCTGCAATGTTTGTGCAGATGGCCTTGATCAAAACAAATCCTTTTCAAGGTAATGGTTGTAGAGCCCTGATGAGGAAAAGATTTCTGAAGCCTGTTTGTGTCTGTAGTTAGTGAAATTCCTGCAGAATTTCTGCAGGAAATTCCTGCCAATTGAGGTTTGCGCTTGTATAGTGTTTGATAATGCTGGATGGTAGTATTAGTAGGTCATGATTAGCAGAAAGCCTTCCATGAGTATAGAATAAAACAGTTACTAAGCTTGGCAGGGGAAGAAAGTGGGAAATGTTTCCTTTCTGTTTTGCCTTTATGATCTTAATGCAGACATTTCAGGAGATATGTTTTATAGATGGGTTTAAATTCTGCTGCTTTTTTTAAGCACTTTTCACAGTCCATGGAGATTTTGTTATACTGTTGTTCATTTAATTCTTCAAAGTGGTCGTAACTCAATATGATCAAGAAAACCTTATGACATTTTGCATTTCTTTCCACAGAAATACCTCAGGAGCTTTTTCTCTGCAATGCTGAAATCTCCATCGTCTCCACTGCACATTGATAAAGTGGGACTGACTCTATCAAAACACACCATTTGTGAATTCTCTCCCTTCTTCAAGAAAGGTGTTTTTGACTATAGCAGTCACGGCACCAGCTAACTTTTGTGCCAGGCCCCTTATGCCAAAGTGGTGCCTTCCCGCTGAGATGTGAGAGAAATGGAGTGGGGAAAAAAAGGTATCTTCTCCCATGCCTGCCAAGTGTCCTCAGAACTTCTCCAGTTGAAGATGTATGCGCCCTGACGCTAGCCTTTGTTCTCTACCAGTTCTCGTATTAGTGCCTGCGTTTTACTGGCAGGGGATGTACAGACTCTTTTTTTTTTGATTTGCGCTGTCAATAATGTACAAAAATCCTGACTCTTATGCTGTGTTTGCAGCCACTCATTAATGGGAGTACTTCCTTTACATTCGCTCAGACAATTCGTTGAGATCGTGCAAGACCATCGCCTGTTTACTGTGGCTACGTGGTCATAATGAGAGAGGTTTTTGAGCAGCCAGGTTCCTTTCAGTTTCTATCCAAGCTGTTCCTTGAAGAACATATCCTGGTTTCGTTTCCTTATAACGTTCTGTGGCCTTTAAGGTAATGCTTATACTCCATTGTTGTTTGTTTTTTCCCTGGAGATACATTTTATCTATTTGACTGTATAGTTTTCCTCAGAATTAAAGCACCTCGGTGACTTGAATGTTTACAAAATGTGTGCAACAGAAAGAATATAATTTAAACCCTATAAAAGTCTTCCACACTTGATTATGTTGAAGCAGAATGAATCACTTGCCGTTAATTAAACAGTAAAGGAAGCAATAGTTATTGAAGAATGCGGTCAGCATCTTTTCACATTTTCTAATTACCTAGAAGGTAACTGGATACTGTGCACTGTACAGAGCTCAGAGCTATGCATAAGCCTAATGCAAAGTACTTTTTTTTTTTTTTTTTGAAAAATGGCTTCTTCAGAACAGCGTAACACTGTAATATCTGAGTTTTATTTGCATAATTTAAAATTTACGGGATTTTGCTAATAGTACTTTAAAATTACTCAGGACTCATTCATAATTGCACATGTATATACAGATAGAACTCATTTTGTATTGCTGTGGATCCAAAAAAATATACACTGTGACTGCAATTGGGTACCTGTACATGTTTATGTATAATTGGTTGTATAAAAATCAGAAGCAAACAACTTTCAGGCATTAAAATGCATAATGAAGTGTGCTTTTGTGTGCCATTTGTTAGGAGTATTAAGCATTGTTTATGAGTTGCCATCTCTTAGCTCTGGTAGGTCTTAATAATCAAACTATTTCATGTTGTGGAAAATGATTATTAAAACCCAACCTGACAACAGTGGTAGTACTTTTATTTCACGACCTAAATTATAGGGGTGATAGTGTTTTTACATTTAATGTGATGAATAAAGACATTTGGGTTCAATTAGTAGGTCTAGCCAGCTACACTAAGCATTTCTAATAAAAAACAAATTGCAATGATTTTCTGTTAATTTTGGGGAGTATTTTGATGATTTTGATGCATTTCAGTGAAAATGAATATTAAGGTAAAATTTCTAAAACACTAAAATTCTATTATCCGCAATGATACCAGGGCAGACTTGAATGACTTTAGATATGTCTGTCTGAACACCTTTTAAATATCTTCCTTAATACTTTAAATTGGGAACCAGGTTTTCAAGCTAAAAATCACAACCAAACCTCTTGATTCTTAAACTCATTTTGCTCCCTGGATTCCCAGCTTCCCTCATCTGCTTCTGCACTGGCACGCTAACTTCACCTACCCTTCTTCACCCACAGGGACCTGACTTCAACGTCCTTACTCTGCCCCGAACTTGTATTGCACCTCTCAGTTCTCTCCCCCATGCCTTTACTTGCAGCCCATCGTTGCCATCTCCGTCCTGCCATTTGGCTTTGCTCATGCAGAACCCATCAAGTGAACTGTCGAGCCACACGGAAAACACATGCCTACAAGAAGGGTTCAGCATGCAGGACTCCCAAAGTCACATGCTTCATGTCACTTTGGATTTAGAGAACTTATTTAAAAAAAAAACAACTGGACAGGGGTTAAATGAATTTAAAACAAGACTAGTACTCTCAGTTCTTCTCCACAGTATGAATTAATTCAGAGAGGACCAGATGCTCTACTGATATAAATCTGCCAATAAGGTGGCTAATTGATGTTGGCTAGTTTATCTGGCCTGCAGCATTATTGCAAATAACAAAGTAAAAGCTGATTAATCACTCCATTTAAAATGTCATCAAGTTAAAAGCTATAGAAATGCAAGTGTAAGCATGCAATTAGGACCACAACCCCAGGCTACCAGCTTTTCTCACCTTCTTATCATGTATCCTTCAATGGAATCCAGAGTTTAATCAATGATAAGAAGCTAAGGCTAGACTAAGAGGCATTATTTTATAATACTATCAGTAAGAATGAGATGGCTCTTTATAACCTGCAGTCTTTAAACCCAGACTGTGTGTCTTCATAAGAGGTTATCGGTACGGGCAGAGATGCGTGTTGATATTATTAGCCATCTGCAAGAGATCCCGACTACATTCCTATAACAATTTCTGCTGCCTCTGAAATTCTCCATCAATTTTATTTTCAAAATATTATCAGCTTCAAAAACATTAAGAAGGAGTCATCTCAAAGGCTGGCACAGTTTTTTTCAAAGTGTCTCTATAATTAATCTTCTGGGCTTCACATCAGCGAAGTCCTTAAGTAAATGCTTAACTTCTGTACCAGGACTGTGTATGTATTTTAAGCTAAGTGTGTGTTTAATTGCTTTACTGAACTGGGGCCATAGCTTTTACTTTTGTCACTGAAGTTGCGCCTCCATTTGATTCATCAAACCATTTGGCTCGTATCCTTGCTGACCCTATAGCGGTTTGTCATCAGCAGGGATGCACAGAAAAGGCCAGAAGGCACACTGGAGACGGGGCTGGGCAATTTTTATGCCTGACAACTCAGTCAGGATACTAAAACCCTGGGCAATGCCTCTTGTTGGGCTTGACCCCCGTTGCTTTAACAGGAAGTGCTTTTCCTCCAAATGTGCTGCTCCTGGTTTGTCAGCTTGGGCAGGTTTGGAAGGACCTCTGCCCGTGCTCAGGTGCCGCTAGGGAGTAATGGGAGCGTTGTGTACCTGTTTGGGGGTCTAACTGGCAGTCTGCAAACCAGCCTCAGCCTCCAGGCCTGCTTATTGCGTCTCAGAGAAAATGGGTAATAACTGTTAGGCAGCACATGAAGTCCTACAGCTGAGCGTACATCCGGTGAGCATGCATCTAGTGAGCATGCAGCTATGAAAGATTTGGAAGTAGCAGGAAAGAGATGTCATGACCGCTACCAAAGCACAGCAGCTTAATACCGCCTGTCGATCCCCTTGCTCCACAAACGGCTCTGTCCTTGGACCCTGCAGGGTATGTCCTAAGGTTGATATTGAGCTACCACTGAAACTCTTCTCAGTTACCCTAAAATTATGAGGGGAAAAAAATGTATAGAGCTTGGCTGGTCACTTCAAGTTTTTGCAATTGTTGCAGATAAAACAAGGAACTGAAATGTGCAAAATGGAAAGCCATGTCTGTAGAACACTGAACGTGTTACTACAGAAATTCGTACACAGTTTTCCCAGTTTAATCAGTGCGCCTTTAAAAACTATGCTGAACTTGCCATTTACTGTCCACCCGTACTTTGTCTTGTATATGAGAATACGAAACACGTTGTATTAGACTATGATAAAGCTTGCAGTTTTGCATGCTGTCAGCTTTCTTCTTTATCTGTCACTGAAACCCCAGAATTGTAGGAGATAAATTATTTTAACTCACCAAGATTCTTATTTTTCAAGTAGTCCAGCCCTGGGTTTTTTTTCTCTCTATTTCATTAGACCTGAAAATATATTAATTTTTGATAAGCTGAGAAGCAAAAATTTGTTGGCCTCCAACCACATCATGAGAAATAGAATATGGCCTTTCACAGAAGAGTCTTTCTTCCTGAGCAATTAAGATCTGTGTAGTTGCAGTGGGCCCTAAGATCCAGCTGAATGCTTGAAGCCCTAGTGTATTCTGTTGGCAGAACTAAAAGTGAATTTTTGATATACCAGTTTCCACCACTTTTTTAAAAAAATGTTTGTTGTGTTATTGTTTTTTATGAGATTATTTTAATTGGTTACAGAACAGAATGCAATTGTAGATACACTTTTTTCAAAAGTGGCAGTTTTCTTCTTTAAAAGATGATAATAAAGTCCATCAGAAAAATAAACAGAAAAAAAAACAGGTAGGAAAAGTGAGCTGTTGCCTGAAAATGCTTTTTTGTGGGAAATATGTAAACTTCCATGATACCATCCTCTATATTGTGCGTACATGAGTAAAAGAGCTTGTCCAATTGGACAAAAATATCAGATCACAGAAGTTATAAATTCTCTTGTCTTATAGAGGTTGATTTTTTTTTCCTAAGCTTTAAAAGGAAAAAAAAATGCCTTCTGAAGGGATCTCATTAATGTTTGATAAAATGGAGGAAAGCTTTTTGGAGCAGTGGATTTTGTCTCCAGTGCATAAAAAGTCTTAGCAGCAAAAAATTGCTACGGGCAGTCTAGGAAGCCCTATTTATTTCCATTTTCTTCTTTATAATTTTTCTTTATAAATACCCACATTTTTCTCCGATGTCATGCTGACAGCCAAGGAAGTGTCAACTCTGTCTTGCATAGCTTGTGTGTTCAGATAGAGTTTAAGCAGTATTTTGTCGCTGTTATTTTTATGAAATTGGTGTTTCTTGAGTTTTTAAAGCTCTGCAAACTTTTTCAAAGTCCTTTGCAGTTTCTTTTGATAGCTTCTTCTATCTTTACATAACAGTTTTGCTCGAACAGCTTGTTCTCATGCTTCGTAAATTTTAGAATATTTCCCTTCTACTTTCTTGTTTTACAAGGCTTAGAAGAATGTGCTGGGAAGATTTGAAGATTAAACAAAAAAAAATTGAAAAAAGGTAGTTATATCATCTTCTGATGAGGTAACTTTTGATCTGGAAAAGTGGAACACAAGTTCTTTGATCTTTTTACATATTTTGAATTTCTGAGTCTTCAAAGGTCTCCCATGCTACAGCTTTTGGGGGTACTATTGTATTATTTCCTGATCTTTCCTATATTCTTTTCCACTGTAATTAACATTTGACATCAGCCTTTCTTCAAAAAACGTGTTTTAGAACAAGAGCCTTCTATCTACTGATGTTTCATTCAGGAGATAGGATGGGAGGAGTTTTAAGTCAGGGGATCTTTGTTGGACTCTTGCTTTTGTCAGTGTCATTGCATAAGGCTGGGGTAACATGTATTTTCTCCATGTCAACTCATTTTAATGTTGCCTTGAGAAATGGATTGCCTCCATAGTTATCTGTGTTTCTGTTTCCTTAAGATATGGATTGGAGATCCCCGATTGTGACCAGTTTTTGGTCATATTCTGCCAAAATCAATGGTTTTGCTTTTTTGCGTTGTAAATTACATCAGAAATCAGCATCTCAAAAATGAGGAAAAAGAAGATTATGTGTGACTCAAGAAATACCAGTGTGTTTTGAGAACTTCTGCATCACAGTTCTCTTTTATTCCCCTACCTGGACGGCCAGGAGATGTGTGGGTTGGAAATATTTCCCTCTCATGCTGCAAATAGAACATACTAATAATGAGAGCTTCAAGAACTGTTCTGTGGAAACTGAAACCATGTGAGTGTCAAATCACTTGTTCTGTTGAGTTAATTTATATCCATAGCCATCTCTAATTCTCATCATTTTAGTATCTGAGTTACAGCATTAGAGTGCTAGACAATATGGGTGTAATAAAGCACTCTGAAAGCAAAAGGTTAGCATAACACTGTGTGAACAATTAGGTATATATCTAATTATCCTATATTCGAATCCATCTAGTTACTTTCCATGCTCTAGTTAAGGAGTATTCATTAGTGGAGCGTGGACAAAAGAAATTGCCTCTTCTAGGAAGTAAGCGCTTCCAGGAAGTGCCATGGATGCCCTCTGTTCTCACGGTCGCTAAAAGGTTGCCCAGCAGCGTGAAAAATCAGGCTCTCAGACAAGCTTCCAAACTGCCTGAGCGTCATATTGATTCTGGCACCTGCAACCATAAGCCGGTGCTCAGGTTTATGTGCTCAGATGAAGCTGCATCTTAACATCTTAATTATACTCCAGACTTTGACTTTGTCTGTTGTGTGAGTGGCATGGAGTGGTGTTATAGGAAAAGCAATGGAGAATTTAGGTATACAAAGAACATTGCAAGAAAACTTTAAAAATCAGTGTGCTTGTTAAACATACATACATTATGAATTTTTCATCTGTTGTAACAATAA